ATTTATTTCTGGCGTACCATTTTACTATTTTGTCCTCTTGACACATTCGAAGTACACTCGTGCTTTTTAATTTAAAAATGTGTTAATGCAATTTGTGACAGTCATTTGCACCTTGTCTTTATCAGTGAACACTGGCTCATGTGACACTGGCCCATTGATAGGTTTTATTGCATCACTGACAGCCATCATGCAAATCATGCAGCAAATTGGCCTATTAGTTTTTACTTTGTTTTTTATGAAAATCTTATCAGACAAGCTCTAAAGTTCCTATTCCACCCCCCCGCCCCCCCATTTCACACGCGAATTTAACGATTGCTTTGTGCGTTTGCAGACATTTGTACTAACTGGTGTTTGCGACAACTTTTTGTGTAATTATTCGAAATCTATCTACCTCTCTATCGATATCTGGTGATTGTTTGCGCATTACTGCCGCAATATTTCCACTACGACTGTAGCCCACTGTCCGTCTGAATGTGTCACTGGGCTACGTGTCTTCTTCACTTCCTCACATGACAGACGCGTAAAATCCGTTAGATGAAAGGTGAGCACGCGCTCGTCGCGCTCGAGAGATAGGCTATTAAAGCTTCATAGCTGCTGGCAGATGAAACGTTTAAACCACCGCAGATTCAGTGAGAGAGAGAGAGACAGAGAGAGAGAGAGAGAGAGAGAGAGATCCATTGATCCGACGTGTTGCAGCGTTGCGGTGCATCTAAACTCCTCCCGGGCTGCCGGACGGACACGCCGCACACTGGGACCCTATATAAGCTCTGCAGCTGTCAGGTGGAGGACACTAGCTGCTCTGCACTGGGGGACGAGTCGCTTTAGCTTTAGGGGATTACAGCTCTGCCTGCTCGCTCATACATCCAAACTGTCACCATGTCTTGGGGATACAAACCAAACAATGGTGAGCCGCTGATTGCACTATATATATATATTACCAGTCCTACCAGCAAGCGGGCTGCTAAATGAACGAAGGACAGTGCATTCACGGATCACTGCGGAGATTTTTTTTTTAATTTTTTTTACATTGATTTATTTAGCCTACTCTGCATATTTGGAGACACACTCACACCTTCAGCTCCCAAATGCGCAGATAATTAAAAATTTTAAAGAATATATTTATAGATTGATATTAAATACAATGTTATTATTATTATTATTATGTAATTTCCAGGACCTCAGAAATGGGTTGAAAATTTCCCTATTGCCGATGGAGTCCGTCAGTCTCCTATTGACATCGTACCGGGCCAAGCATCATATGACGCGGGGCTGAAGCCGCTCGCCCTGAAGTACGACCCGTCCACCTGCCTCGATATTCTCAACAACGGGCATTCCGTCCAAGTGACCTTCGCGGACGACACCGACAGCTCACGTGAGTGTTAATACTCATACATTTACAACCGTCCAGGTACTGATTCAGATTTCTCGGAGAAAACACATTCTCTTACATTCATATTACTCACAGTAACCGAGAAGCTATAAGATTCTTGGATCCAGGTTTGCGGACAATAAAAATCAGGCTCCTGAGGATGATTTATACAATGCAGTCATCTCCACAGCTGCCACAGACTCAAGCTTTAGACTAGAAAGACATTAATACTGTGCTTATATTAATATAGATGCGCCCCAGATTCCTTAACACCACGCCATTAGCGATGGCACAGATTTTATGTCGTTTTTGAAAAATGAAATATGTCGTTTTTACAATAAATACATTTGCTTAAGGTGCAGAGGTCTCCTTGAAAAGGCAAGCACAAAGCGCGATTGAATTGGTAATCTAACCCTTGGTAAACCTTTCCCACGCCAGCTCTGCTAACAGTGAGGTCAAAAGCACAAAAAAAGGGAAGGTTATTCATACACGAGCTTTGTTAATTATTAATGTCCCCACGTGTGCACAGAAACAGTTACTATGAAATTAATGCTAATATCTTTCTCTTTCAGTAAAATATTATTTATTTGTTTATTTATTTTATGTGTGTTTTCATTCTGGTCGTTTTAAAACTTGTCATGTCCTCCATGACATGGACTTGGACATGTCCTGCACTTTTGTTTAGGATTCCTTAGGATTTCAGAGTGATGAGTGTTTTCTTTTGTTGTTTTTTTTAGTAGCTCTGATAGGGGATAATCGAGACTATGGTTGCATAATCAACTTAGTCACAGGGATAAAATCTCTACTGCTCACACAAAGTGGTTTCTTATGTTTTCTTCGAATCTTACTGTACCTGTTTTAGGCCCGGCACTTCTAAGAAAGGTGTCTGTGTAACACATTCATGTTATACTCCATTAATTCTTCATTTTTCATGTAGACACAGATTACTTTTTTATCATTCAAGGCCGACAGCTGCCAAATAAATATCCTGTTTTGGAAGGCCGGGGACTCCATATGATGTTGCACCAGAAATAGAACAATATACAGGATTAATTGCTGCTGTTTGAACTACTTTGTATTCTTTAAATAGATACATTACACAACAGTGGAAAGAGGTCTGGTGTTTACAATACCTGGACATTACTTTGAACTGAATGTAGCCATATCTTCAGCTGGGTTTGCACAACAGGAACTGAGACTGCTTCCATGGAAGTGTGTCACAGTCACAGTGTCTACATGTGTGTATCACATCTTATTCCATTTCCTTTTGTTCGCAAATACAGCGCTTTTGAAGTGCTTTTCTTGCAGGTCAGATCTTTTTATGTCAGTGCTGAACAGCTCTGCCATTTTTCTCTCTTTCTGCAGGTTTAACGGATGGACCAATCTCAGGGTTGTACAGACTCAAGCAGTTTCATTTCCACTGGGGAGCTTCTGATAACAAGGGCTCTGAACATACTGTGGCTGGGACCAAATATCCCGCTGAGGTAGGGAATCTCTGGATCATTATGATAATACCGAGATGGCTGATTAATGTTGATGTACAGCAACAAAGAGATTGGGATGGGGGCGGGGGGCAAATTAGAGGCCATTAAAATTTGTCAGTGGCAAATCTTGCCTAAAACACAAATCTCATTGGTTGAATTATAATGGATCGAAGAAGAAAGGCCGCCTGGGAGGAAAATATGAGCAATTAGGGAGCTGGCCTCTTTTCCCATCATGTTTGGCAGCAAGTGTGGTTGCAATTTGATGTGTTTTGCCACAAATAGTTGCCTTTTCCTTATCTACTGTTTGCTCACCCAGCCATTGCTTAACCTCAGAGAAGCATATGATTGCATTCCCTAAACAGAACTTTAATTGCGCATGGGGAGGGGGGGGCATTTAGAGACTCCAGGCCTCTTAATCCATGATTTAGGTGGTTTGGTCAAATAGTATCCATGGATACTAGCTAGTTAGCTGGCTAATTAACCAAGCTATGCAGCGGAAGGAGGCTGTTGAAAAAGGTGAATCCCTTTTGGCAGAGTGACGTGATGTTTTTTTGTATGTATCTGTGTTTGTTGGCGCAGAAATAAATAGTATAGATGTACTTTTTAATGAT